TCCATCTGTCCATCCATCCATCTATCCATCTGTCCATCCATCCATCTATCCATCTGTCCATCCATCCAGAATTTATCTGGATCTTATCATACATCTCGGTCTCCATGAACTCTTTTCTTTCCCCTTCATGTCATGTTCAGGTGTATGTCATTGTATCAAGACCATCATGAAATACTGTATAAAGAGTTTGAAATACTGTATAAAGTATAAAAAGTTGATACGACACAGGTACTCTTTGCGGTTGTAGGTCCGTGCTGGAGTCACGCACTTCCTTGTTTTGACCGTTCCTTCTCGCTGTCATTCCGCAGAGATTCCCCAACGAGGGATTGGCCAACGTAGTGCGGAACGTCTTTGACTTTGACTCGTACAACAAAAATGTGAGAGAGGTTCTGATCGAGGCCCTTCACAAGCACGGGATTCCCATTGGGGCCAAGCCCACGTCTGTCAACCTGGCAAAGGAGTAAGATACTAGGATGATGGGACACACACACACACACATATACACACAAAATAGTTTAAACAAATGTTCAGAAAATCATTTGAACTCACTAGGACGCTGGAGCTACTGGTCTGCTGCTGCCTCTTGTGGTCGTTTCTGCAACAGCAAATGAACAACTCACATGTGCAATACATATTTTTCCTTATGGTCTTTTGGGTCATTAGGGTAAGAGTTAACCGACGGTATGGTTGAAAGAAATACATAGTTCCATCTCATCTAAAGCAGTTACATTAAGGGCAACTGGACTGATATAGTTTCATGAAGACGTACCACTTCTCATCCGAGGGTCTGGTATTGAGCCTCGGGGAGTCTTTGTAGGTGGTGTCCACAATCAATTCCATTCACACGGACCTGGCGCAAGAAACTTCAACGTTTAACAGAGCCACCGAATACGACTCCGGTCCGGTTGTAAATGGAAGACTGTATAGATCAGGGGTCCCCAACCCCTGGTTCGTGGACCAGTACTAGTCCATAGGTCATTTGGTCTGACCAGTCATTGGAACAAAAAAAGGTTGGGGACCGCTGGTATAGATGTAACTAGTCCATAACAGACTAAAAGATGTTTCTGCAGTTGATTATTATTTGATTATTTGAATTAAGAAACTCTGCTGCCTGGACTGTACTTAATGCTTTTTAAGCTCCCGCGGGCCACACAGAACGGCTTGGCGGGCCGCATTTGGACCCCCGGGCCTTGAGTTTGACCTTAGATCATACGTGTCAAACTCAAGGCTGTTTTAATCCACCTCTTCTGTTAAGTTAAGTTTGACGTAGATGGCTTCTTTTACTCCTCGTTCAAACCATCTGCCTTCTCTGGCAAGGATACGTATCCTCGAAAGTAGTGTCTCCCCAACGTAGAGGTCGGAACAGTCCTCACTGCAAACAGCCAGCCTGTACAGGTGCCAGGAACAACACAGGAGAGCCAGCTCTTCAGCTGTTAACTTACATCTCAAGGACGAAAAAAAGATACCATCGCAACCTTCTCCCTTTGAAATTGGGTGTGGTCACCTCCTTAAATGACCCCCCGTTTCAGGTTGAATACCAGAATTTTCCAGAAGTGGATAGGAACTGAAGAAGACTCTTGGATGAAGATAAAGTGAAACGTCTTCAAGAAAAGACAGTCAGGTTGCCCTTGATGTACTCCCACTGGATAAGATGACCTGGACGACTGAGATCCTCCATAGCCATAGCATGTTGACGATGACTTTCCATCGGAAACAAAGTCAACTCTGAAAACATGGCCGCGTTGGGACTGTTTCCCATAAGACCCGCATCTGGTTCTAGTCTGGATTGATAATCTTTGAGGCTTCTGTGAAGTAGTCACTCGCATATTAGCTCACCTTTTTCATAAAAGGGAAGAACGATTGAATTTGAATTGACCTCAGCTTGGTTTTTATCATGTAACACTCAATAAGTCTAAATAAAGGAAAATATTTGTTTCTCCAGTCTCCTGTGCTTTCATTTTATTACGTTTACGTGTAATACGCTCTTGGTGGAAACAAGCAAATGCAGAGTAGAAACAAGTATTTTCCTTTGTTTTGTCTGGTGTTTCCGATAGAATCTCTTCTCTATATATAGAAGTTAAGAAATATAGTTTAACGTCAGAAAAATCCTTTACAGTATTTACATTTTCTAGTGACACAAAATGCTCGCAAAAGGCAGCAGAGGACAGTGAGCTCCTGGTTCCCCGCCAGCTTAAATTGTTACGTTTGTCAGTGGATTTCTGTCCAGAAGTATCAGTTCTATTACAGATATCGGTTTTCTATACGTCAGTGGTTCCCAACTAACGGCCCGGGGGGCTACTTCATGCCATTAAACCCTGCTAATCTGGCCCATGACGTCATAGATTTTGAAATAATCTTCCATTTTTGTTAATATTTCCATTTGTTGTTTTACTTGTTCAATCAAAAATAGATTTGTACTAGCTAGTTTGCACTGTACTTCTGTCCACTATTTACTGTACTTTCTTCTCAAATATCTGGGATTTTGTATAGATTATCAAACACCGCATTAGCCCTGAGACTCATTCGAGTTTGACACCCTGGTTTCCGTTTCTGTTGGAAATCAACGTCCTGACGATGAAAGAGCGGCCGCTCCATATATCCACAGATGTTTAGTGCTCTCTCGTGAGTCATTGCTGTACCCCAGCCGTCGTCTGATTGGCTGCAGGTGATATAAAATGACGTGGCTGCGAACCAAGATTATTCCTCTAGGAGGAGGAGCAGCAGCGATTCCGTGAATGCAGACAGTACAAGGAACAGAAAAAGGGAAGAGGAGACGTGTTTGTGTCGGTGTGTCGGCGTTCGGGAGGATTTACTGTAAACAAGCTGTTTGTAGGTGAAAACAAGGCGTTCAGTATAAACTGTTCAACGTGAGCTTCAGAGAAAACCACTTGTGAGCGGCTAAGTTTGGAGAACAGCTGATGCTCTGTTTACCACTTGCATGAGATGGTGATGTAAACAGGTTCTGAGAATTACCCAAGTACAGGCATGGGCAAACTAAGGCCCGGGGACCGGATTCGGCTCGGTCAGCTTTTGAATCCGACCCGCTAAACTTTTCCAAATTATGTAATTTATTATCATTATACTTCTTTCTTTTCCCTGCAATACCCATATTTCCCCAATAGATGGCGTAGGAAAATGATAAAAGCATGTTAGCATTTTAGCCTTTATGCTAGCTTTGACATGTCATTTATCTTAGTCCACATGAACGCTCCATCTATCTGCTCCTGACCCTTCATTGAAATAAACCTGGGACACAAAACACATTCAGCTGATCAGATGTACCGCATTTCGATTTATTTTGGAATATTAAAAAAAAAAAAAAAAAAAGTAATATTGTTTTGTCAACCACACTTTCTCCTTAACTGGAGAATAAACAGATCCTTATTGTTTTAGCTTATATCCTCGTCTTGCGTGTTTGTTTTTCTTACTTTGACCTTGTTTTTGCCCAGATTTCCACTGCCTCAAGTGACGATGACGGGATACTGGAAGATGAACCAGAGCGGCGATGTCCGTCGTAAGCTGCTGTGTCCCACTGAAACCAGACCTATAGATGTTAAGGTAATGGAAATCCTGAAGAGATTTTACTCTTATTCTTTTACTCTTTACTCCTGTTTGGATGCTCATATTTGCATAAATGTTGTTGTTTTTTCTTTCTCTCTCTCTGTGTCTGCAGGGCCCTGTGTTCTTGCGTGTTCAGAGTTACCCTTGCAACAGACAAGAGAGCAGAGCGCTGAGCTTCACTGAGGAGAAATCCCATTGGCAGATCCCTCTGAATGAGGTCAACATCATCTGTGATGTCGCCACCAAAGACGGTAAAAACACACAGACAGCTGCGCTTCACTTTTCCCGAGCTGGGGTCCATTGAGAGACTCACAGGAGTCACTGGTCTGCTGCTGCCTCTTGTGGTCAGTTTGTGTTACTGAGGTACTGAAGACTCATTGACAGAGAGTCAACGTTGGATCAATATCTACGGGCTGTGAGATTAAATCTCTGATTTTCCTCTATAGGAGTTAAGATACTTTTAGCTGAAAATGTGGTGGAAGGTGGAATATTTATTATTTAATTTATTATGCATTTTATCCATTGTCAAATCCACAGATTTAAATGTTAAATAAAACCCCTTTTTTTTTTTGTCTTTATGTTTTTGTAGATGTCGTGTATGTGGCCACCTGTAACCCGGTCTCCCTGTTCTCCATGAAGGAGCGTGGTGACACCATCAACTACATGGACCTATACGACGTCTTCCCCAGAACCATCAGCGGCGTCTGGCAGCCGTTTGTCACTATTGCGGTGCTGGGAGGTCCACTGGAGGGACAGGTGGTCCTCCAAGAGGAGCAGGTGACATACATACATATTCATGAAAACACACACAACACTGCGGTCAAGCAGTGTGACTCACAGGAGTAATACAGTAGTAGATACTGGTACACGAGCCCTCTAGTGGTTGTCAGTGTGAAAATAACAAACATGTACATTTTCAGTGCTACCAGAGTAGCAGATACTGGTACACAAGCCTATAGTGCCCTCTAGTGGCTGGGGTTTTGGAAAAAAAGAACGGGGGGAAGCCTATATTGCCCTCTAGTGGCTGGTATTGTGAAAATAACGAACGTGTACATTTTCATTAGTACAGGAGTAGCAGATACTAGTACACAGGTCTAGAGTGCCCTCTAGTGGCTGTCAGTGTAAAAATACTGAATATGTAAATTTTCATTAGTACAGGAGTAGCAGATACTAGTAAACAAGCCTATAGTGCCCTCTAGCGGCGGTCAGTGTGAAAAAAACATGTGAAATTATATATATTAATATATAAGTCGTAAACCCAGCCAAAGGATGAAAAAATGTGCGACTTTTAGTCCAAAAAATACAGAAGTTTGTATTAGATTCATTGAAGCTTTTCACGTTTCCATGGTTTTTTTAGAAGTTTACACCACCGATTTCTAAATTCCCGTTGTTGTCCAGAGTAACACTGTGCTGCATCTGGACCTGGGAAGTGGTGCTGTCCGTAGACTGGCGTTGTCCCCCGACAGTGATCAACCTGTAAGCGGAATATCCAACTGGTGGAGCAGCAAAGAGCAACAAGTCAGAGGACTCAGAACCTAGATTTTTTTTTTTTAATCCTATCATTTATACGATGTTTGATTGTTAAAAAAAACTTTTTCTTTTTTTTTGTACAGGGAGGATATAAAATGTGCACAGAATTTGCACACAAAAACTGGCTCCTGTTCCACAAAGAGAACGGGTACGAGATCCCGAAGTGCTGGTCCTGAGTGTTAATGTCACCGTTAGCATAACTTGAATAAGTCAAACATGGTGCTCGTGTTTGTAGGAACAAGCTGGAGGTCCTGGATGTGCTGGAGGGCAGGGTTCACTCTATCTCAGTGCCCATCAACCTCAAGTCTGTGTTTCTGGTAGCAGAAGATCGTTGGTTACTGCTAGAGAGCGACACCAACAGGTGAGATGACAGGCTTTTTTTTTTACATTTTGTTGGAAGATTATGTTTTAGATTTAAAAAAAAAAAAGAAGTTATAAATCTAAAAAAAAATAAAATAAAGATTTTATACAGTGTGGAGTTCCACAGGGATCTATTCTAGGGCTGTTACTGTTCATTTAAATGACTTTGCAGCTGTATCTACATTTACTTCGCCACTGCTTTTTGCAGATGATGCAACTGTTTTTGTCACAAATAAAGTTTCAAAACAAATAAGTTAACAATTTTATGTTAATTGGAGACAGGAAAATACTTTATTAAATGATTATTAAGTGAATGCCAGCAACGAAGATAAAACGAATCAATTGGAATTCTAAAAGGAGTAAGAATATAGACGCGCACTTTTGTTGTTTTATATAAATTCCATTATCTGCAGACTGTTTCTTTGTTTTGTCAGATTAGCTATAGCATAGCATATAGCATATGCTTATGTTTCAACGAATCGTTTTCAAGTATATCATTTTATAATTTTTTTAAATATATTTTAATTGTCCTTAGCATTACTCTCACTCAGAAAAACTACATAACAAAAAATAAATGTTGACACAAAGTCAGTTCTTTAATAAATAAGATGCAACAATCTTAAGGATGTACAGTACGTGTTATAGAGGCTCGAATGGCATCGATGCAACAATCTTAAGGATGTACGTGTTATAGAGGCTCGAATGGCATCGTCAGAGTACAAACAAAAAATATTTATGCGTCTAATGTACACAGTAATGTACTTTTTAGAGTAGATTAGCTTTTGACTTACTTTTATGGTGTTTTTGTAATATTTGTGATACTGGATTTTTTTTTCGAAATTTCATTGGTTGCCTCATACTTGTCCTAGTTAAATATAATTTTCTACCCACATTTATTGGGTATATGATGTACCTTTCCTCAGCGGTGTGTTTAGAAGATGGGGCCCGATACCGATCCTGGATATCGGATCGAGCCATATGTGTACCATATGTGTAACAACGGACATTTTGTTTTTTTTCTTTTGGAACAGGAAGTTCCTCCTGACAAAACCATTGCAAATGGCACCTGGAGACTCCGAGGTGTGTCAGCTCCATGCCATCGACGAGGAGTCAGTCAGCAAAGGATATGGAGTGGCTTCTGGTACATTAGCTAATAAGGGCAGGGTCCCATATGGTCTAGCGGTTAGCATTCCTAGTTTTCACCCAGACGTCCTGGGTTTGACTCCCGTAGTTTGTTGATCCACCATGGCTCTTATCGGTGTCTTATTTTGTGACAGTATCGTCAGTTTACATTTATATTTCATAGCCCAAATCCACAAAACCCATTTAGCCTTATTGAACTTTCCCGTGTTGGACATTTCAAAGGTAAACATTTGAATGTTAACCTATGCACATCTTCTCGACACCAGCTGAAGTGTTCGTACCGCACATGGTGTCATGTGGTCAACTTCCTAACGAGAATCTCAGCGCAGCGCTGGACCAGAAGATTGTGTCGCCCAATAGGATCATGGCCGACACCGGCTGCTACGCTCAAGTGGTGGTGGGATTTCCAGATCTCATCGTGAGTTTTAAAAATAGGCAAATGTCACAGGGGATTTTAGCTAGCGCTAGGTAACATTTGATATTTGTTGGATTTTAGCTTATTTTCAGTTATTCTTCTGATGGATCTATGGTCTACTTCAGGGGTGTCAAACTCATTTCCACCAGGGGGCCACGTCAGCAGTACAGTTCCCCTTGAAGGGCCGGTTGTAAATAGAAGACTATATGGATGTAACTACTCCATATTGTATTAAGAAATGTTTCTGCAGTTGATTATTATTTTTATAGGTTACAAATATTCTTCATTGCTCTGTGTAATAAAAAAAATTATCAGGTTAAGAAACTCTGCTACATGGACTTTTTAAAATGCTTTTTATGTTCTGGTGGACCATACAAAATGACACGGCGGGCGTTCTTGTGGACCATACAAAATGACACGGCGGGCTACATTTGGCCCCCGGGCCTTGAGTTGGATCTACATTTTTAGCCATCTTTTCACTAGCCTAGCTTTGGGCTAACATTTTCTAAGGGATCTGCTGAGGTTACTTTTTATGATTTGGCTGTTTGGTTTGTCCAACTGTTAGCAATTATGTGCTAATATATAGAAGAGTTCTGTTAGCATCACAGTTATACGTACGTTTCTTGTTCTGTTTTTGCCCAGTCTGAAAATGAAGTTTACAGCTGTAAGAGACCCGTTGATCTCTCGGCGATGAACAGTCGGTCCAGATCGGTGGCCAAACGACAGAACTGCATCAGTCTGCTCTCGGCCAATCAGGTGGTTAGAGTGCTGCCCCCTGCCGATGTACCTTTGAAGGAGATTTACCCTAAAGGTAGGAGTTTGAATTCCTTTGGTAAACAATTGAGCTAACAGCAAAGGGTATACTTCTAATATGTTGTTCGTTTTATGTCAACCCACAGACGTTACTCCTCCAATGGCAGCAGGTTATCTGGAGGTCACAGATCTCAACTCCAAAAAAGTCAGATACATTCCCGTCCCCAGGTAAGCTCATCCTGCCTCTGATCATCTGACGGTTATTTTTTTTATTTTTTTTCTCTCAACATGTACTTTTTTTTATTTTTCGAGGCATTGACCAATTATTTCATGTTAATGTTGTAATCCATCGAACTATGAAAAAAAAATCTAAGTAAAAATATAAGTAAAACCAGTAGTTTAACCCTTTCATGCATGACGGTCACTACAGCTATGAAAATGTCATTTTCTATGATAAGAATAGGTTTTGATGGCAGTGTTGCATATAAGCCTCTACAGTGGACGCCTGAGAATCACCCAACACTGCCATACAGTGGTCAGCCTTTGCAACTGCAGAATAATTGTGTCAACATTCAAAAAAAAAAAAATTGGTGTATAAAAACAGAACCAAACCAGTTCTTATTTTTATGTCTACAAACACGTAAAAACACTTAGTAACATTTTTTTTAACTCAGTATATCATGGGTCATGCATCAAAGGGTTAAGAAGGCTGCGGTAGACCATGAGAAATTAAAATGAAAAAAATAAAAAAAATAAAAAAATAAATAATATATATTTATACATATTTATGCATATATAAATTAATGAATTAAAAATAATTAAATATTCTGTCTATGTATATATAAAAATATTTCTATGTATATACTGTACATACATACATTCTGTAGTGTAGTAGTGACCATATACTGTAAGAATCGAATCGTACTGTGTAGCACATAGCTACATACATTTAATCAGTAGCCCAACATATAATGTGTTTATAAAGTACGTTCAGTTTATGAGTACATATATATTGAATACGTTTTCAGATCACTTTAGCCTGGTCATTTAAACAGTTTGAATAAGTCAAAAAAGTCTCATCCAAGGACTGGGTTTTAAAGGTTTCTACGCAACTCTTACCTGCAGGTCAATGAGGGTGTCCCCGTACACTAAGTGGTTATCCAAGGTGTCAGAGACTAATGTCTTACTGGCTCCTCTGGGCTCCGGGGGCGTGGTCACAGTGGATATGGGAGGCTACGTCCGTGTGTGGGAGACCGGGCTGGACAATCTACAGCGTTCCCTGATGGAGTGGAGAAACATGATTGGGACAGAGGACGGCAGGCCATTACAGGTCTGATAACCCCCCCCAAAAAAACCCAACTTGACATGTGTTTTAAAATGTGTTTACAGCATCACCTGGAGGATGAAGAAGAATCTGCCCAGTTTAGAATCATGGCGGCAGAATGTTGAGAATATTAAAAGAGACGAACCTGCAACTCATCCCATCACCACTAGGGGGCGATGTTGCATTAAATAATGTACTACATGGGAGTTGACTGACTTTTTACTGACTTTTTACTGACTTTGATCATTTTCTTATCCTGAAAAGTTTTTTAAAATATTTTCTGTTTTTTTTTTTCTCTTCGGGAAAATGATTCAATTCTGAAAAAAAACATTTCACCACAAGAAGAATTCACATTTCCAACCCCTCCGAAATCCTCTAGCACTCTGATGCATATTTTGACCCGGCTCAGTCCAAGGCAGCTGTTTATTAGTGGACTGACATTTTGACATGGTGACACTGCCGACTGACCCCCGGTCGGAACATTCAGAGCAGAACACACTGAGGCTCCTTTGTTAATCAACCTACATACACACTCACACACGGACACGAACAGAGGAATCCTGTGAAAAAGAAACGTCCAGATGTAGGACGGGGGCATATCTGTAGATCTCTTATGCTACGCACTTTTGGGGGAAAACGGATAACGTTCTTTGAACTCCTCGAGTGAACGTGGAACGCGTTGGGAGGGATCAGTCTCACGGTGTTGTTCACTGCTGCTTTGGAGTTAAATCAAAGGTTGTTTAGTGTTCAGAAAGTGAATACAATGCGTTTGAAATTCTTCAGTCATGTTTGACTTCATGCATTCTTTATATATGAGAAAATGAAAGGTCAGACGTCAGACGTTCATTTACTTTGGAGGCTTTTGGTTCCAGGGTGGTTGATATTCATGTTTTTAATGTTATTTTAATCTATGGTTTTTTTTGTTGTTTTTTTGCGTTGGTATCCTTGATGTATATAACCTTTAATCTATGAAGGTCTGTCAACAGCTCTCCATTAATGCTCAGGGTGGTATGTGCACATGTGGTTTTCAATGGCAAACACGCCTGAACATAATTAATATAACTGGCGCATTAAAATGACCAGAGCTGGCTAGCACAAAGTAATTCCTCTGAATCCATCTCTATGTCCATCTCACACACACCTGCAGTACAGTGTGTGTTCTGTGCGTTAACCCAACAGTGGTCTCACTGTTAGCGGAACATACCTGCGTCTGTATGCATCTGCGCGAGTGTTGACACAGAGCAGCTCGGTGTGAGATGAACCGTTCACATGTGCACGGTTACACATGCGACTTTTTTGCGACTCTGCAAACATATATTAAAATCAAAGGAACCGTCATGTTTAGCTAAGACGCCCGGGTAGAAACAGTCTCACTTGATAAAATCTACAACTTCTGCTGTTTCACAAAATTCAGGTCTATTTTCACCACTAAATAAATATATGTAAATATATAAATATATTTTATATATTTATATTTATATTTATATTTATATTTATATTTATATTTATATTTATATTTATTTTTTATTTTATATATTACATATATCAAATATATGTCCCAATATATGTATAAACAATATATATATATATATATAGGAGGAGGTCCATGATCTTTATGGTCCACGATTAAATAAAATGTATTTCATTTATCCTCATAAATGGCTGCTAAAAAATATGCGTTTCTATGCGGAGAAAACAACATATAGTTGGGTAAAAAAAAAAAAAAACCGCGATAATCAATCGGGTTTCGAAGGTTTTCATCTGAGCCGGAAATGCTAACGGTATGAGCTCATTAGTCCCAGTAGTCACAGCTATGAGAATGGATGGAGTCCTTTTACCTTCATGTGCCCCACTGTCACCCACGGGTGAGCCGTTAATCTATATTCAGAGCACTGACAGGACTGGATTACAGGAACCAGACGGAGTTCACCGGAGACGATACCTTAGAACTGGACTTTTTTTTACGAGGCGCAGTTGTCAGCAAAATGAAATTTCAAAGGACAGGACTTGTGCTTTCAACACCAATATAATAAATATCTAAATTAGCGAGCCGTGCTAATGTCAGCCTTGCTTTTAAAACATAGTGTTAGGTTGAATTGTTTGTAAAGAAAATCGATCAGGCACATATGCCAAAAGGTAAAGAAAAATAAATAATCAATATATTTATATAAAAACATGTATACATACATGTATAAATACAGTATAGAAAAATATCATAACACTTCTTCTAAATTCCTTTGGGATAGCTTAAAGCTAAATTAGCCAGAACATTAAGCTAAAACAAAAAAAAAACAATAATTAAACTTCCTCTGAAGCTTAAAATTACGACTAACGTTAATAAAATGAGCAAAAATTTACAAAATATGCAATATCAAATTTTTCAAAACAAAAACACAACTAGTAGTCGTAAATATTTAGTAATTATACGAATAAAAAAATAGGCAAAATTGTAGCTAAAAAACACAACTAGTAGATGTCCCAGCTCCTTTACCCATCATGCTTTGCTGCAACAGAGAATTCTTTTGTGGAGATTCTGTTTTTTTTTTGGTTGCATGTCGTCTGTACGATGGTCACGCACAGGCATGTATAGACTAGCGTGTAACGAGAGCCCGGTCACATGTTCCGGAGTGAGCCCCTGTTATTGCGTCAGGGTGACTTTTGACTCTTCGGCTCAGAGATATGACAGACAGCTCTTTGGAGACTCAGGTTAGCTACATTTAGGGCTGAGTGGCGTCATCGCAGTCATCCGATTCACTTGACAGCTCACTACAGTTGGAGGCTCACTTCTGCCTCTTTCACTTAATACATATGGTGTGTGTTTACGTGTTTTTAGACATAAAAATAAGAACTGATTTGGTTCTGTTTTTATACACCAAATTTTCTTTTTGAATGTTGACACAATTATTCTGCAGTTGCAAAGGCTGACCACTGTATGGCAGTGTTGGGTGATTCTCCGGCGTCCACTGTAGAGGCTTATATGCAACACTGCCATCAAAACCTATTCTTATCATAGAAAATGACAAAAATTTTCATAGCTGTCCACTGTAGTGACGTCATGCATGAAAGGGTTAAAATGTACCTCACTGACACAAACTGACCACCAGGGGCAGCAATACATGAGCACTTCCTGTGCGTTCCCGTGGCGTAAAGTCACTGATTTTCTGCCGTAACTTAGTGAAAATGACCGCTTCGATAGTGGTGTGGTTAGCACGCCTGCTATTCAAGCACGAAGCAGAGAATCCTGCGTTCGATTCCCAGAGGAACCACCAACCTCGGGTACCGCATCTGCTGTTACGTTTTACATTTTACACTCAGAGAACTTCTTATTTGTCCGACTTTTCCGTAACTGTTCCTAAAGTCGTACCTTCCTCTGTTAAAGATCACCATCCAGCGAGACAGTGATCTGGACGTGACTGCTCCGAAACACGGCAAGGTTGATCCCAACAACGACCCTCATGTCGGGGGGAACCAGTGGGCAGGGGGAACAGGTGATGTCTTGGTTTTTTAGCTAAAATGCCGATGGTCGTGTTCTTCCATTGCAACACATGCACGTGACGCATTTTAGTTGAATTTTGTTTTCATCGTCCCCAGGTGGCAGAGACACGGCGGGCCTGGGTGGCAAGGGCGGTCCGTATCGTCTGGACGCCGGACACAAGGTGTACCAGGTGTCCCAGGCTGAGAAGGACGCGGTCCCTGAGGAAGTCAAGCGAGCCGCCAGAGAGATGGGAGAAAAGGCCTTTAAAGAAAGGTGGGTGGAGTCAGACGTGGAAGTCGACAGGTTCAGTAACGTCGGATGGTCCTGTATCTGGTGACAGGATTTTTTTCAGGGAGGTCCTCGGTTTGCGTCGTCCTCGGTTTACGTCGTCCTCG